GGTTATTCAGCATACATTTCTGACACACTAACCACTTGGCCACACTGCCACGACTATCCTTTGATTGCGGGGCAGTTGTGAATCCGCCATCTCACAGTCTGTGGTGGGATTGTCAATGAAACAAAGTCGTATTTGCTTTAACAATCGATTGCATTACTTATTTTTCGTTTTCATACGTAGGTTTTCGAGATTACCATCATATCCTATATATCATATATATTAAATGGAAGCATAAAGTCTATTCATATGATTATGGGAAAATTCAACCACGAGTCCCCTTATTATCTCAATCTAAAAGAATAAATGCACATCGTATGTATTTTCTATTTGTAGTCTCGAAAGCCTACTTATAAAAAAACGAAAATAAGTAGCGTTTTTGCTATAGCACCAATCCCACCACACAAAGTTATATTGTAAAATGTCTTCTCGTCCTTGAAATTCACATCTGTTTTGTCAGCCTAAGCCGCTCTTGGCAATTCGGCGTAGTGGTTAGCGTGGCGAAATTATGCGTTGCATTACCAAAATTCGGGTTCGAGTCCAACTGGCTTAGTTGACGAGACCTAGGCGAGGTATGAACTACAATCCACTCTGGAAGAGAATACCTTTTGGGAAAGCAAGACTATGTGAAATTTAATGGAAACGTAAGGTCTACTCATAAGATTGTGGGAAAATTATCTTTCAGTCCCCTTTTTTCCTTGAACGAATTAGTGTAAATATATCCCATATTCGTTTGACATTTTTTTCGCAACTTAGTCGAGTATTTGGAGAAACCTTAAAGAATGAATTCACTTTTGTGTACTTTGTAAATAATGCCATGTTTTATTATAACATTTAACAACTGTCTGGGCTTATTCCTTGGGAAGAATGGAAGTTCTTACAGCTCATTTATTTCCCAGTTAATTTAGTCGGTGCTGGAAGAACGGATGATAACAGTCACACAAGACGCAGCACATGATACATTCGTTTGCGTCTTCTTGAAAGCACTATTGAGTCATGAAAACGACTTTATATGCTTTTTGCCATTCCTCCTATAAAGCTGTCTTTGTTTCCTTAATTGGTAAGATTATACTGTCACTTAGCAAATTAGGAAATTGGCACGTTGTTGTTGCATTTTTCCAGTAAAAATTTAGTTGTCACTGTACTCACGGCAGTCTATTGTGGCCTAACTATACTTTATGGAGGCATGGCCCACGCATCTGATTATGGGAAAATCCATTTATCAGTCCTTAACTCACCTCAACCAACCTAGGACGATATGGAATTACTGACTCTAAATACTAATTCGTTCCATCAACTACTGATAGTCTTGAGACCTATCTGTATCACATATATTATTTTAAAGTTTTTACTGGGAAATGGTTTATTCTGGATTTGTTTTCTTTTAAAAGAATCATTTCACAGTGCTTCATTCAGGCTTGCTTCTTTCTCCAACATGATTGTCACAAAACTTGTGAGCTTCATTGACTTGCAACCAATTGTTTTCTATGCATACATAGTTTGTGGAAACACAGGAACTTTAAATCATTTTATCAAACCCTTTCTTCTACCCAGCGTTACTGGTTTTATTCATTCCTAGTTCGCTTATTCATCTTGAAATTTTTCCTCTTTTTTGCCCTCAGTCACTACCCCGTCAGTCAGTCCCAATTCTACACAGGACACACGGACGGTGAGTCAATCTATTCATACTTTAGTCAACAGGAAATCTGCTCTCCTGGACCCCAACATCAGCATCTGAATCCACTGCCAGAGGAGCACCAGGTATGTTCTAGCTGTGTATTTCAAGTTGAATGAAGCATATACTTATTGCTTCCATGCTCCTTACGGGCTCGGAGGCTGGAAGGTCGTATCACGTTTTTGAGAGTACCTTTACGACTGGAACATGAGTTTGTCGCCTAAACAGGCAAAGCGCTGGGAGCAACATACTAATGGACTTTATTTGTTAGCTATTCGGTCCATCACTGTTACACAGCTTTTCCGTAAGAGATAAATAAATCAGAATAGAACATTTTTATGAATTTGATCGCTTGTGCAGGACAGACAGCATCGGCCGTCAGAATAGTTACTGGGACTCGAGCCAAAATTAAGGAAATTGTGTTTACTGACCCTTTTTCATGGCCCATTTTAGCACGCTTAGTATTTATAAATTTTAAAAAAAAGCATTTAGCAATCAGATGCATTTAATTGTAATGAATAGTGGTGATTAATGCATATGAGATGTCACGAATTCTTGCCCTTTTGAGCAATCACATTTATAGCCCTTTTCTATGAAACGAATAGGAAAATCTCCATATCCATTCCATTTTTATTTCCCTTTATTCGATGTATATTTCTGATCAATAGATTGCATTAATTTACATAATTTTACTTAATGCGATGCCGTCTTTTTCACGATTTTTTCTCACCTCTCCCTCATGGATCATTGCCCCTATATCACACCATTTCTTCTAAGTGCATCTAAGTTTTTCTATACCATTTGTCCTCTCATTGCCTTCTCTCATCACACCACTCTCTTTATTGCTTAAATTTAATTTTTTTTCTTGTTCATACTGTCTTACTCCAACGTATGCGTCACGCTTCACACTTTAGTTGGCCGGCTTCTCTGAGGCTTTTAGCCAAACTCTGGATCCTGCATTGCCCACCGGCAGTCCCAACGGTCCTAGCCAGCACGATCAGATGGCTGGTCTTGTTGGAGGTGGTGGAAAACCGCATCACCATCGTCGTCGTCGGCGAAAACAGCCGCATGGAGGAACACCAACTGGTACTGGCCTCGGGACTCCTGGTGATAATGGTGCCGGTGCAAGTCCGGGCCAGGACCAGACAAATTCTTTGCTGGTACCAGATCAAACCAGCGTTGTCGGTAATGAAGAACAAAGAAGTGGAGTTATTTGCCTGGGACAAATGAGCGGTGGACAACCAGGTTTTGTGGAGACGAGGTCCGGCCAGCAAGAACAGCATATTGACCAGGCATGAGTCAGCTCGTTCATATCTTTAAGACACCATCATATTTAGCAATATTTTTTAGCATACTACTAGCCATCGTTTATTAGTAGCATGAATTATTATAATGCTTTTTAATGGGCATTTCGATAATCGTATGCATCAAAGTAGTTCGAACGCATATCTTTTTGAAGAAAAAATGTATAAAAACTGGGTTTCGATGAATCCCTTAATAGAGTACCTTTAATTTCGTTAGAAGAGGCGACTGCTTTAGAGTTGTCACTGTAGATTTATGCTAATAGATCCTTGCGGCATCATACTGTAAGTCCGGTGAGCTTAGCAAACTAATCCCTTTCACTCGCCTCTTCAAACTAAGTGAGAGATATTTCAATATTATCTAGTTTATTTGTTATTCGCACTCACTTGTTTCCATTTTCAGCCAACACATAAAATTAAGTCAAGAGAACTTTATGTCTCTTGACCCTCTAATGAATATTATGGCAATCAGCTCTGCGGATTCAGTATAATACCTTTAAATTCACATCCATGTGGCAATGATGGAGAACGGGTCTGTTTTTATTGCGATTCATGCCCTTAAAAGCAACATAAATGATGGTATTGATTGTTCTTTAAATAAATTTCATCTCAATCCTATTAAGAGACTGGGATATATTGTTTCTTACTACTATGATTAGTAATATG